ACTTATGGCCAAAAAATAAGTCAACAAAAGAATGACAAACTAGGAAATAATACTAGCAACACAACATGACAGATACAGGGGCCAAATTTCTTAATTTATAAAGAGCTCATATAAATCAATAAAAGACAAACAACTTGGTCTAAAAGGGACAAAGAATATGAAGCAGTTAACAGAAAAAGAAATACAAATAATCATATATGAACAGGCTCCATCCTTCTAATAATTAAAGACATAGAAATCAACATATCAAATGAATATTGTCATTTATCAGATTGTCAAAAACCTTAATTTGGATGATATCACATTGCTGACAAAGGTGGGAAAAACAGGGACTCTCATACACTCTGGAGTAAATAGTTCTAACTCTCTAAAGAGCAATTTGGTAGTATCTATCAAAATTTAAAATGCACATACCTTTTGATCCAGGAACATCACTTCTCAAACATTACCTTATAGATATATAATCACACTTGCACAGAACAATATACATACAAGAATGTGTATCAGCATTGTTTTAAATAGTTAAAAATGGGAAACAACCAAAGTGATCATGAAAAGGATAATTCTCCCATGACTCTATGTCATGCTTCTAAGGAAGCATGACGATTGATAACCAAACTTTTAGAAATCAGTGCTGACATTATTTTTAGAGACGGGGCCTTTCTCTCTTGCCCAGGTTGGAGTGCAGTAGGACAATTATAGCTCACTGCAGCCTCAACCTCCTGGGCTGAAGTGATCCTCCCACCTCAGCCTCCATAGCAGCTGGGACTACAGGCATGCTCCACCATGCCCAGCTAATATTTTATTTTATTTTATTTTATTATTTGGGGTCTCACTATGTGCCCAGGCTAGTCTTGGACTCAAGTGATCCTCCTGCCTTGGTCTCCCAAAGTGCTGCGATTACAGGCATGAGCCACTGTGCCTGGCCCAATGCTGACATCCTTGATGAAAGTTTGTGGGTGGGGGGGAGCGCAGGGGAGATCTGATGAGTACCATAACCCAGAGAAAGAGAAAGTGTGCTATATTCATCCATGCCAGAAGGCTGTAGAAAGGCAAGCAGAGACTTTGCTCCTATGATTACTCTCCTTGAGTTCTTGCTGTAACTGAATGAACTATTGTAAAGTGGGGTTAAGTAGATTCTAGAGCCCCCTCGCCTGCTCCAGATTTTCACTGTTCCCAGACATGGCTATGCTGCCATTGCTGTTTCATGGGTGGGCTTCAGGCTCATCCTGTCCTGCTTTCTAGCTGTAAACCCCTGATGCATCTCCAGAGGTTGGGGGAGGGCGTGGGTGGTGACCACAGGCTCTAAGGCTAAGGGGAACTTGAGAGTTCACATAGCCAGATTGACTGAGGCCTTGGAGAACAAAAGGTTCCAAACCACCATGAGAACTCACAAGGCTGTGCTATCAAGATTGCTTCAGACCCACTTACCAAGATGCCCTGTGGTTCTCCACAACGTGTATTCTCCCTCACTGCCACAAGTAATAAACCCAATATGTTCAACTACAGTTATGTTCCTGGCTGGAAGGTATTGATACTTAAAGTCACTCAACCTTTATGAGTTAATATTACAATTCTGCCTAAAGATGACTGAGTCCCAGGCTCTCACAGTGATCAGTAATTATCCCCCTCCACACACACAGGGACACATGCATATACACACCCTCTCCACTCCATAACCATGCCGCCTTTCGAGAGCCCACATCAATGCATTTATACACCAATGCATTGTCCTAGAATGAACGGCTTTTCCTCTGGCATTCCTGTCTCTGCTAGTTTTCCAAGATCTGGAGATCTGGCAGGAGCAGAGGTAGGAAAATTCAACATCTGACTGGGTGCAGTGGCTCACACCTGCAACCCCAACACTTTGGAAGGCCAAGTTGGGTGGCTCACTTGAGCCCAGAGCTTCGAGACCAGCCTGGGCAACATGGCAAAGCCCAGTCTCTACAAAAAATACAAAACAAATTAGCCGGACATGGTGGTGCATGCCTATAGTCCCAGCTACTCAGGAAACTGAGGTGGGAGAATTGCTTGAGCCTGGGAGATTGAGGCTGCAGTGAGCCATGATCGTGCCACTACGCTCCAGCCGGGGTGACAGGGTGAGAACCTGTCTCAAAATAAATAAATAAATAAATTGAAAGCTCTTAGGAAATTCAGAGGGAGAACAGGAGGAATTCATGTCACTGCTAAGTTCCTGGCCATCTTAATAAACACAGCAGCACCTCCCCCCACCCCTGCCACTATAGAAGCCTTTTTAGACATTAACCAAAATGTCAAGCCATAGTGGTAGGCTAACAGTGCCCTTGACCTACCACTGTCAGGGGTAGAAGAAAGAAAGGGAAAAAAAGAATACTAAAGAGAAAAATATGAAAGAAGAGGGACAACAAAGAAAGCAGGCATCTTGCCTGTATCTGAACTTTTAGAGCACTAATAGAATCATTGCATTTAACCCTTGAGCTTAGACTGTCCTGTCCGAAGTTCTTTGTAGCGTACTTGCGTTATTTCCTCAACCAAATCCTAAAAGCCCTGAGGCTTTTAGCAGGCACTCTTTTGACAACACCACCATCAGCAAACCAACTGGATATGTGGAACGATCTCCCCTCCTAAACAACCCAGCAACTACAGCAAAACACGCAATTTCCCCTTGAGTTCAAATCCCCTTGCTGTTCCCATCCATTCCTCTGCATCTCTTTAAAACAAAACTCTTTAAAGAGTTATCTATACTTACTGCCTCTATGTCCTCACTTTCTATTCTCATGAGCTCTCCAATCAGGCTTCCAAGCTGAACTGCTTCCAAGCCATTCCACCAACACTGCGCTTGTTGAATTCCCAGTTACTTAAACTTTCAGCAGCATCTGACGTGATTGGTCACGCCCTTCTTTTTGAATAATTTTATCACTTGCCTTCCAGAACACCACACTCCCTTAATTTTTCTCCTACCTTATTGGCTGTTCCTTCTGGGTTGCCTTTGCTGGATCTCTCCCCCCTCCCTGATTTTGAAATGTAGCACTGCAGGGCTCTGACCTTGGCTCTCTTCTTTGGTCTAAAATCACTTCCTAGACCCTCACCATTAAACAGAAATGTTAATGTGAGCAGAATTGCAAGCCACATATTTTCAATTTTCTAGTAGCTACATTTTTAACAAGAAAAAAAGGAAACAGGTGAAACTGCATTTAATAATATGCTTTAACCCAGTATAACCACATTATGATTATTTCAACATATAATCCCTATAAAATAATATTTTTTATATTCTTTGTGTTCACACTAAGCCGCCACATCAGCTGCATCAGCCCCCTGCTCCAAACCCCCCAGTGGCTTGCCATCAAGCTCAGAGTAAAATCCTAGCCCCTTACCATGGGCCTTACATGATGCAAGCCCACCCCCATGCTCCACTGACCACTAATCCAGGTACCCCCCTACTTCATCCCTTCACCTAGCCTCACTGGCCCTCCTGGAAATGCCCCCTTTCAATCCCAGAATCTTTGCGTTTGCTGCTCTCTCTGCTTAGAAGCCTCTTTCCCCAGATAGTTACATGGCTGGCTTCCTTGCAGCATTCAAGCATCCAGTGTTACTTCCCCCAGAGAGCACGTCCATGATCAGCCTAGTTAACATGCTCCCACTCTCTCTCCATCCCAGTATTCTTTATTAACATCTTCATAGCTCTCACTGCTACATAAAC